ATTCATTGGTCAGATGCTTAATGAGAATTAAAAAGTATTTATTGGTTCTGACAAGAAATGTAAAAGCAGCTTCAAAGCATCCATGACTAACGTCATACATCAGAAATTTTATTACCCTTCTCTGAAAATTCGTGTTGGCCTCAATAAAGTACTGAAGTTATAAATGTTTGACTAATGGTATAGAGTGTGGTGTACTTAGTGTTGGTCCCTCAAGAATTATGGGATAGAAACAAGGAAATGGATAGAAAAATATCAGCCCTTTGGAATATTTTCCCCCTCTTTAGTGTAGTGAATTAACATTTCAACACCACAGTAAATGTTGTTGTTGTTGTTAAGTGCCATTGAGTCGGTTCTGACCCATAGCGACCCTGTACAGGGTTTCTGAGGGTGTAACTCTTTACGGGAGTAGAAAGCCTCATCTTTCTCCCACGGAGTGTCTGGTAGTTTCAAACTGCTGACCTTAAGGTTTGCAGCCCTATTCGTAACCACTACGCCACAGTAAATAGCAAGCAGTAAATGAATCATAGGCTCACCAGATTGCAAACATCTTTTCTGAACAAGAGTTAGCAAGAAAAGGGCTATGTGTATTATTTACTGAACAATCAAACAAATAAATAGCAACTGTAGCTAAATCATCCCAAAGGTGTGTTTGGGGGCCTCAAATATCAAATATGCAAAGTTGCATATCAGAATTTTTGTTGCAATCTGGTTTACAATCAGAAAATGATTTTTTTCTATTTACTTGCAGGCATCAACTCTCAACTGGCTTATAGCATTGCTTCAGGTGATAGCCTTGGACAGTTTACTGTCAACAAGAATGGGGTACTGAAAGTCCTGAAAGCTTTGGATCGGGAAAGTCAATCCTTCTACAACCTGGTTGTTCAGGTCCATGACCTGCCACAATTTCCAGCTTCCAGATACACAAGCACAGCTCAAATCTCCATTATTTTGTTGGATGTAAATGATAATCCACCAACATTCCTTTCCCCAAAATTGACATACATTCCTGAAAACACTCCTATTGATACTGTTGTTTTCAAAGCTCAAGCAACTGACCCAGATAGTGGTCCAAATAGCTATATTGAGTATACACTGCTGAACCCTCTGGCAAACAAGTTTAGCATTGGGACCATTGATGGTGAAGTAAGACTCACTGGAGAACTGGATAGAGAAGAGGTTTCTAATTATACCCTAACAGTGGTGGCTACGGACAAAGGTCAACCATCTCTCTCTTCATCTACAGAAGTTGTAGTTATGGTACTTGACATCAATGATAACAACCCCATCTTTGCACAGGCTCTGTATAAAGTGGAGATTAAAGAAAACACTCTTACTGGAACAGATATAATACAAGTATATGCAGCCGATGGGGATGAAGGTACAAATGGACAGGTTCGCTATGGCATTGTTGATGGAAACGTCAATCAGGAATTTCGGATCGACTCTGTCACTGGTGCCATCACTGTGGCTAAGCCTTTGGATAGAGAGAAGACTCCTACTTACATTTTATCTGTTCAGGCAACAGACAGAGGCAGTACTCCAAGAACTGATACCTCCACAGTCAACATTGTTCTACTAGATATTAATGATTTTGTTCCAATATTTGAGCTTTCTCCATATTCTGTAAATATTCCTGAGAATTTACAAACATTGCCTAGTACAGTTCTTCAGGTCAGTATATTTAAATTGAAAAAAATCTTGTTTGCACTAAAATTCATCTGCTTGAAAAGCACCTTTTCCTGCTATGTTCATGTTTCACCCACCCTATTCCTTATTCTCATCTGGAACTGCATAATTTCAGATATAGCTAATGTTGAATAAATGAAGTTTATGGAATTTATGCCCAAGAATTAATGATTTCCTCATAGCTTAAAATATTATATCTCAGTCATAATTATATTTATCCATGCATTTGCTTATGTATGTGCTAATTTTCAATTATGGTGTTTTTATTATAGCAATATGCATATATAACAAAACACACAATATTTCATCAATTTTCACAAGTAGAGATTTTTTGAGTAATAGTGCACATAATAAAACAATAGAGTTTGAAAAGATATCTTCTAAAGTTGTTTTCCTTTCTTCCTTTAAAATCTCATGACCTAGATGAAACTCTTGTTAATTTTTGTGATGTATTCCAAAAATACAATACAAGTATTTTATGTGCACTTTTAAATAGGCTTATGTGATATGTGCTATTCCATAGCACTTTCTTTAACCTGAAAACTAAAAAAATGTATCTTTGAAATCTTTCAATCAAATAGCTTTGCTTCATTGTATTTTAAGGGTTTTATTTTATGTAAAGGTTTGCATTATGTGAGTTTTACCCATATCCATGGTATATATTATTCTTTCCTGTAGGTATTGGCAAGAGATGATGATCAAGGTTCTAACAGCAAGCTCTCATATATTCTATTGGGTGGTAATGAAGACAACACTTTCACCCTCTCAGCCAATGGAGAACTTAGAATAACACAAAGTCTAGATCGGGAAACAAAGGAACATTATATTTTGACTGTCACAGCCACAGATTCAGGTACATCAATTATAATCAGTTGTAAATAAGTTACTGTGTAATATGAATAACTGAAAATATTTTTGTTTATCACTAAATTAATAATTTGTTGAAATTTACTAGTATTTGTAGCTTTCTGGGTTTAGCAGTATAATACAAATGCTTATCACTTTATGACATTTATATGTTAGTGTAAGGATTTAAACACAGCACTGACAAAGTTTTGTTCCTGTAACAAAGAGTAAGTCCTTATTCCATTGGCTTCCTAAGTGCCTCTGGGTAGGGCTACATACTCTACCATCTGAGCGAGCAGACATTTGGAGCTCTTTAGCTTTGAAAACAATCCAGCATGGTCTAGCTGGTCTTAGAGACAAGTCTTGTAGATTCTTCAAAATTGTAATCTCCTATAATAGGCATATAATGAAGCCCCAGAGAACTCCTAAAAGAGTATCAGTGAAACCCAATGTTTGCATTAAGTAAACTCAATACTGAACTAGGAGTCCTGTTGTGGTGCTGTGGGTTAATGCACCAGACTGCAAGTCCATTTGAACTGCGAGGTCGGTGGTTCAAGCTCACCAGCTCCTCCTAGGAAACAGGGTCGCTTTGGGTCAGAACTGACTTGAAGGCACTTAACAACAACACCACACTGAACTACATTAGAAATAATGAAAAGCAGAATCGTTGCATTTCAATGTTGGCTGAAAAAATCATATAGGAAATAGTGTAAAATAAAATGAATTGAAATCAACTAATCTTATTAGTTACTATTATTTGTAATATATTGACTATTCATAAACACTGAGTGCTTCTAACACAAATTTGAAAACATTAAAAAATTGTTTAAAAAATGTTATACATTGATTACAGTATTGCTTGAATACTTTTTGAATAATGGATTAATAAATAAGTAAACTATTGATTTTTCAAAAAGATATGTGAATTGTAGGACATTGTTCCTAGTAATATTAATTTATAAAAGTGAATGTCACAACTCAGCTTTTGAATATTACAATTTTTCATACTGTTTTCGTATTGTGGACATAATGGAATAATTAAGATGTTTGTTGGAACATCAAATGATTGGGGAGTGGTGTGGGGAACTGCATATAAGTCTCTCTTTCTGTGTATGCATGGGTATGCATTATTGGTGCAGTGATTAAGCAGTGTGGAGCCAGTTGTCAGGAGTTTGAACCCACCAGCCATACTCGGGAAAAAAGATATGACATTTTCCTTCCAGAAAGATTATAGCCTTGAAAACTCTATGGCATAGTTCTACATTGTGACTTTCATTTAGAATCTACTCAGCAACAATAGGTTTCATTTTTTGGTTTGGAATTATACATAAACATGTATACCAAGGGGATTCAGAAAGTTTGTAGAAAAATTATATTATTTTTCAATTCCATTTTCAGCAAGCTTTTTGAAGTCCCCTTGTATTAAATCCCTGTATGTTAAGGTATATATAGATATACGGTGTCCTGCTGTGGTGCAGTAGGATAAACATTGCACTGCTAGCCAAAAG